GTTCTTTACCATTATTTAATGTTTCACATTTGTATTTTTAAGATTCCTTTAGGAAACTGTAGCCTTTTCAAATCAAGAATAGTATCTTAGCTGGGTGTGGTGGTACATTCCTGTAATCCCAGCAAATCAGGAGGCTGAGGCAGAAGGGTCACAAGTTGAAGGCCAGCCTTGGCAATTTAGAGAAGCCCTAAGCAACTTAGTAAGGTCCTGTCTCAAAAGTAAAAAATAAAAAAAGCTTGGGGTATAGCTCAATGGTAAAGTGTCCCTGAGTTCAAATCCCAGTTATCCCCCACACACACAAAAAAGAATAGATTCTTTTAATCAGATTTGTGGCATATGCCTATAATCCCCAGCATATGGAAGCTGAGGTGGGGATTGCCAATTCAAGGTTTAACTTAGAAATTTAGTGAGGCCGTAAGTAACTTAGCAAGATCCTGTCTCAAAAATAAAAAATAAGGGTCAGGTGTGGTGGCACACACCTATAATCCCAGTGTCTTGGAAGGCTGAGGCAGGAGGATCATGAGTTCAAAGTCAATTTCAGCAACTTAGGCCCTAAGCAACTCAGCAAGACACTGTTTCTAAATAAAATATAAAAAGGGCTAGGGATGTGGCTCAGTGGTTAAGTAACCCTGGGTTCAATCCCCAGTACCAAAAAAAATTTAAAACATAAAATAAGAATAAAAGTTAAAAAGGACTGGGGACGTAGCTCAGTGGCAGAACTCCCCTGGGTTCAATCCCCAGTACCAAAAAAAAAAAAAAGAGTAGTATCTTCTCTAGATTCCTTACAAGACCAAACATAGACTGATGCACAACAAATATTTAACTGATATTCCCAACATTGCATGATCATTTTTACCAGGACCCTAGCCCTCTGTTTACACTTATTTTGTTCTCCCACCAGCCCTTTTCAATAACTACCTTCAAACTCTTCATACCGAAGCTACTATAAATATAATGACATCAATGATTATGCTGTAAGAATCAAGTACAGTGTGGGATTTGGTTCATGCCCTAACCTTCAGGAGAACCTCTCCTTCTAGGACTCATAATTTCAACTCTCCTATTCCATAACTACAAGAAGCTATGTGAACATCATCTCAGGAAACTTTTCCTTACTGTTTTGACGATAGTTAGATTTCTTCTCATCATTCAGAACTAAATACAGAAAACATTTTGTTTCAATTTTACAACTAGTTCTTTAAAAGTATTTTAAACTGATATTTCTATTTGACTTGACTCTATTTTCTTTACTCCTAAAATAAATGCCACATGAATACCTTCATATTTACTCTCTGGCAGACTAGATCAATTTAGGGGAAACTCCAACAAATAAATCTTACCTCTTCAAGGCCCTCCTTTTGTATCATGTTCTCCTACCTCACAACATTCCACCCACACTTCTCTAAGGCCTTTTTCAGACTCAGTCTTTCCCATATAATAGTTTCTGCTGGGAATGTGTTTCCCTGTACTTTATAACTAACCCCTCAATTTCAGGTCCGCTTAAATGCCATTTTCTTGAGAAGCTACTCTCCATATTCCCAATCTACATGGTATCCCCTCTCTTTTGACTCCTTACTGTGCTTTTTATTTTCCCTTTAAGGAACTTGCCACAGCCTGAAATCATGTTCATTTTTGTGACTATTTCATTAACTGCTTATCTCCACCAGGAATATAAATTTGTAAGGTCTGGGACCACATCATAAAGACAAACATGCTGACTTCTACACTTTCCATCTTCTCAGTGGTGCTCTGGGGAGGTACCAAGCATTTGCCTGTTATCTACAGGCAAACTGAATTCAGAGGGCTCTGCGTATCCTCAAATACCTCTGCCCACTGTGCTGCATGGAGCACCAGTCTGTTCCATGTCCTACTCTGTTAGCTCAACAACATTTAAGGGAAGAGTTGATGCAACTGACCCCTGTTTTGCCACATGGATTTTAACCATCTCATAATCCACTGAAAAATGGTCATGGTATTGCAAACCCTACTTCAAACTGATATAAGTAAACCTGCGGGATGAATGTATGTTCTTGTCTTTTTCATTAGACATATGCTTTCTGAGAAAAAGCCCAAAGGGGTCAATAGTGGATGGCTCATGTTTTCTTCTCTACTTACACATACACCTAAAACACACAACCAAACTGTACTTTATGGCCAACCTAGGTCTTTGTAACCTAAAGAAAAATACAATGAGCAAGAGGAGGCATCAGTAGGAAGGCACTTAACAGTTTAAAGTGAACAACTTACATGTTCACAACATTATAAACCATGGGAAAGAACTGCCAAAGTTACTTCAGTCTTGGAATAATACCAAATATCTTTAGGTTCTCCCCAAATAGGTCAACTTTCAGACATTAGCTGAGAGTAAAACACAATAGGAGCCAATAGTCTAGTAATTAATTCTCTTCCCTGACCTCAATCACCAGAAAGGCAATCTGGTCTTAGAGGATCAGGAAATTATATTCTCTTCTTGGTCTGGCTTTCAACTGTCCATCTCAGCACAATCTCAGCTATAAAATGAGCACACCAGCACTAAAGTACTATAGTTCTATACTATTATACCATGATACAGGAGTGGTATCAAAAACTATGGAGATTGTGGGCTTGGATATAGCTCAGTTGGTAGAGTGCTTGCCTTGCATGCACAAGGCCCTGGGTTCAATCCCCAGAACCACAAAAAAAAAAAAAAAAAAAAAAAAACTATGGAAGTTGTAGAGCTGCTAAACTCTGTATCACTCAGAACAACTCTAACATTCTCTTTTCAATGCTCTATGACAAATTTAAGTAAGATGTTGTGAATTTGACATATAAACAGAGAAGGTAGGTAAGAATGGTGATCCAGAAGCCATTAGATATAAGGTATGAGTGAGAGAGGCAAACATATTTAGTTTGGAAAAGAGTATCTGATCGTCTTTTAAGTACCCAGAGACAAATGTCACAATGATGACTTGGTCTGTTCCTCTTCATAAAACTGCACCAACCGATGGGTAAAGACTGCAGGCAAGCATGTGACACAATAGATGAAAAACATTTAATTAGGTCTACAGATGTATTGACTTCCTCTGAAATAAATTGCCTCCTTTGTCATTGAATGTCTCAGAAGCTAACTTAGCAATTTCATGGGCCATTTTAGAGAGGGAATCAACAAACTTTTTTCTGTAAGGAGATCTAAGGACCATGTGTAATCCTTTAAAGAATGTAAAAACCAAGTGGGGTACAGTGACACAAGGCTTATAATACTACCAACTGGGGAGGCTCAAATGTGTGATCTGTTGCCTTTCTTCAGTTAAACTCTAATTTGAGTTTGAGGCCAGCCTGGGATATATAGTGAGACTCCGTCTCAAATCAAAATAAAAAGGTCTAGGGATGTGGCTTAGTTCATAATGCCCTAGGTTCAATCCCTAATATTACCAAATAAATGAATGAATGAATGAATTAATTAATTAATCCTTAGTTCACAGGCCATACAAAACAGGTAGTTATTTATCCTTGTTCTAGAGGAAGCTGTCTAAAAGAAATATGAATCACATATGTAATTTTAAATTTTCCAGAATATATACTTAGAGATAAAAAGAAATGGGCAAAGCTAATTTTAATGTTTTAATCTAATATATCAAAAATTATGTTAACACATAAACAAAATTAGTAATGAGATCTTTTACATTTTAAAAAACAAAATGTTTGAAGTCTGTTGTGTATATATATGTATTTTTAAATATTTATTTTTTAGTTATAGGTGGACACAACGTCTTTATTTTATTTTTATGTAGTGCTGAGGATTCAGCCCAGTGCTTCACGATGCTAGGCGAACACTCTACCTCTGAGCCACAAACCCAGCCCTACATTGTACATTTTATGACTTATACCATATCTCAATTCAAACAGGCACATTTCAAGTGCTCATTAGCTATGTGCGGCTATTACATTGGATCAAGCTGTTCCAAAGAAACTTGGGTTTACCATTAGGACACAAAACAGATTATCTTCATTTTTTATTTTTATTTTTTTTGTGGGATTGGGGATCTACTCCAGGACCTCACACATGTTAGGCAAGCTGTCTATCATAAGCTACATTCCCAGCCCTTTTATTTTTCACTTTATTTGAAACCGAGTATCACTAAGTAGCCCAGGCTCAAATGTGTAATCTGTTGCCTTTATTCAGTTAAGCTCTAATTTGATTCCTATACAAGGTATAGGAAGGATAGTATTTTGATGCCACCTTCTTGTGGTGAGTAATGTTATATGATAATACAAACAAAAAGCCACATTTTAGAAATGAAAGGTATCACTCAAACAGATCTACAGAACACCACCCAGAAGAAAACTTTCTCTTTAACTCCAAATACTCTTCTTTATAAATGTAAGAGCATGCTCAGAGTGACTATCACCAAAAAAGTTCCCTAATTTCTACAGAAATTATAAACCATGAACAGACAAAGCAATGTATTTTCATCCCTCATCAATTATCAAAAGAGCCTACCCCAAACAAGGGAAGAAAGATCATGTGAAGAATCTTTTGCTAGTTCATCTTCCACCCATAGAACAGGCTAAGTCACTTAAGATAGAGACATGAATAAAGATAATTTCATTCAACGCCATTCTTCAGCCACTAGGTTTTCAAGTTTGGAGTTTATAAGATTTATAAAACCATAGGACTGTGAGACACAAAAAAATTTGATCTTAACAATCTTTTCCTCTACCATTGCTGATATTACTCAAAATCCTAAATCTTTACTATCAAAATAATGAAAAGTTAGCAGAAAGCTCATTCACAACAGATTCACAGAATCTCACTTTCAATAAAATAGGGCCATGAAACAATCAGTGTACTCCTGGGGGAAGAGTTTTCAAGTGGGAGACACAAAAAGATAATCAATGTAATGTTTTCCTAATTAGGAAAAAAAAAAAAAGGCTATTTCAAGAGTTAAAAGGCTGCCTTACCCTAAACTATCAGACTCCCTCTGTAAGAGGTTGACAGTGGGGACATTTAAGTGCATTACCTTTAGGAGGAAAATATGACTTGCTTTCTGCTTTGTGAGGCCAGTCTACCACGAGAGGTCCAAACCTGCGAAAACTGGCAGTGATCTCATCTACAAAATAAAGAAGGAATGTTAGCAAAAGAGAAAGAAAAAAAAAAAAAAAAAAAAATTACAATCAGAGTAGCCCAAAACACGTCTTTTTATTAAAAAAAAAAAAAAAGTTTTGAGAGTTACTTTCTAAAGCATTTTTAAAGAAGTCAAACCTACTAAGTGAAATACCACTGCTTGAGTAAATATTTGGTTATTCACTTTTTACCATGTAAAGTGTGTTTCTAACCATAATTCACTACCTTCTACTGCCAATAAATTTGATATAAAGAACTCAAAAGGAAAAAAACCAGTATTAGCTAAGGTAACTCCTCTGTCAAGTAAAAAGAAGAATCTAAAAATAGGAATGTTTTTTGTTTTTAGAAAAAAGGCAAAGGTACAGAAAATATTTAATATATACTTTCATTTGTATGGATTCTCTAGTATTATATTAGAAATAAATATGAATCTTTTGATGAAGATCGGGGCAATAAGTAGGTAACTATTTGGTAATAAGAAAATGTTAAAAGCCATTTAACATTTCTTTTTTTTCTCTAATACCTGCATACTATATATTTTATTTTATTTTTAAAAAAAATTTTAATTGATTTTTAAAAATAAATGACAGCAGAATGAATTGCATTTGTTTTTACACATATAGAGCACAATTTTTTACATCTCTGGTTGTTTATAAAGTATGTTCAAGCTCAAGTTTATCTTCTTCTTCTGATATTTGACTCAGAGCAGAAGGTTGTAACCTGGTTCCTCCTAAGGTTTAGGTTGCCAATTTCTTAGTCATGATAAAAATTTATCTTAAAGGAAATATAATTGACAGACGCTATTAACACAGATGTGAAAACATTTTGGAGGAAAATGAGTCTCTAGATCTGTACAACTTTAATGCAGTCAGTCTAAAATAAAACTATTTTTAGAGATTTTTCTCTAATTATGAAAAAAAGGAAATCATGATAAATTACAGAAGAATCATAGCTAGAATAATGCTTGCAAAACAAATCTGTTGTAATAACTCTTTTATAACAGAGCTGAAGCCTATTAGAACTAGAGTTGTTTTTCTCCTTTAAGTTAGCTATGTCATAATTTCATTTCATTTGTACATTTAACAAACATTTATTTACAACATATTATGTGATAAAATAAATATTTTCACTGGTTTAGGCATAAATGAAAAATTATTTTTCTTTTGAGCTGGTAGTATCTCAAAACTATTATTAAGAAAAATGCTAATCTGTCTTCACTCTTATAAAAGGTAAAGGGAAACATGCTTTTCATATATATATATATATATATATATATATATATACATACATATATATATATGATGGTATGATGGACATGAACAAAAGCTCCTTACTCAGACTTATTTTAAGTTTTAACCACACCCTTTTAACTACACCTACATAATCCTGGACAAATTATTTCTCTTGGATTCTCAGTTTTCTCATCTATAAAATGGACATAAGATATATTTACTTATGAAATACTCAGCACAATGATGGACTTAAAGTAGGACTGTCATAAGTACTGATTCTCATTATTATTTTAATATATAGCCCAAATTATTAAGTAGGAAGTGGAAGCTGTTGGGGGATGGCTGCATTGCCACATATGAACAACAGACCCTGAAGTATGTAATCTATTACTTCCTCATTTATCAAACATTCTCACCTCCAACACATTTAAGATACAAATGACCAAAAACTGACCTGAAGAAAAGAGTCAGGGTCAGATGACATAACTCAGCCTTTATAAAGTCTGTATACAACGTACCTTCATCAATATCAGGGGGAAGGCCTCCAACAAACACCTTTCTGGAGTAGCGTTCCACTCGTTCCCCATTTTGACATCGAGTAGGAGAACTTAAGCCAGATGACAAGGCCTGATCACCATGGCTGTCATCCAAAAAGGCGTCTTCAAAGGGAAAGAGAGAAGATCGACCTGAAATCAATGTAGGAGTTTCTATAATTAGAATGATTTTCTACACAATGCTTTCTTACATTGCTTTATTAGAAGCCCAAAGTGCAAGTGTGTCCTGAGCTGTTTGCTTTTGCAATAGAATATACAACTGAAGAGTACCCATGTAGAAAAGTTTAAATCATTATTTTTGTGTAAGGATATAAAGTATGGAGAATACTAGATTGATACTAAGGAAGAAGCATCAAAATTGCAGCTGTTTTCCTTGCTAAAAAATCATTACACTTTACTCCTATGGTCACCATCACAGCTGCTAAGAATATATTTGGCAGTTATTTTTCTTTTATGCAGTTACTTGTTAAAATAAAAAGAAAATATAATATTTGTTCACAGATTTTTATCTATTTTTGGTAGTGACCTCAGAGGTTATAAAGAGTGGCCTTGATAGCTAAGGGAATATTAAACTGATGATGGAGGCTAATAACTTCTCATCTAATAGCAGAACTAAAGATCAAGGTTTCCCTGTCATCCCAAGCTATTTCAATTTGAAAACAAACTTGTGCAATAATATAGGGCAAAGCAATTAAATGAACACATATAAATTAAGATGTGGGAATAAAGATATAAATATGGTAAGGATATCTTAACCCTATTAATCTAAGCTGTATTTTATATCACTCAAAATAAATAGACTACAGAATTATTTTCACTATTAACTCCATAGTCAAGTAAATTTTGTAGAGCCAAGGCATCTACCCACTCCATGTGACTATAAGGAATATATCAGAAGTTAGGTTCTGTTAATAAGTATAACATAATAATGCCACTTGGCATTACAAAATAAAATCTAAGTTTAAAAACAAATACATTTCCTGTTTGAATCTGTCAGTTCCTGGTGAAACTTTTCATTAGGTTCAAATGGAATGAACTATCTTGAGAACTCTAACCTTTGAAAAAAAGAAAAGAAAAATGTCCTTCTAAAATAAATTCATATTTTTCAAAAAACAAGAAAAAAAATCTCTTCCACATTTAGTCTATCCTGTCTATATCTCCCTGAAACCTAAGTTTTGTACCACAACAGACAACTCGCTATGAAACAGAATATTAACAACCTGAGAAAAATACTAAACATTTCTTTTACAAAAAAAAAAAAAAGTTGCTAATATAACTGTGTTTACTTTATGAACAACCCAAGTGGTGCAAGAAAGGCACTGTTTTCATATTATGAGTTAATAAATAAAAGGGCCAAATGTGGGGGTACCTATAGAATTTTTTGTTCAGCTCTTCCCAGTTTAGCTACAAAGAGACAGACTTACTATCAAATTCATGTCCAGGTCAGCATTTCCTACAGAATGTTTGTATTCCCACCTTTTACTCTCCACACTAGTGACATGAGATGATCATAAGACTAAACTGGGTCAGGAGGAGATACTAAATAATTTAGGAAAATACTGCATACTTTATTCCCTTCCCAGAGTTTCCAACTCACATTAGAAAATAAAAGGCTTTGAACAGTTCTGCAGTAAAGAAACATTAAGCTTCTCCAGCATTACACGGATTTAAGATAAAGGAAGTCCATAAATACAAAACTCAATGGAAAACACTTGAGGAAATATTGATCAATGTTCCAAGAGCCCCAAACGAGATACTTCCCTGCCAAAGGAGTAACAGTCTGCTGAGGGAAATAGTCAAGTACAGAATAATTATAAAATAGAGAGAAATATGAAAGAGAGGTCACGTAATACTAGAGCACAATTTACTGCTCTCCTGAAGATGAGGGGGGAAGACCAGCAGAGTGATTTCACAGGAGGGCAATTCTGAGCAGAATCTTATGGGGGTAGGAAATTCTGAGGTAAAGAAAAATAATCCATAGAGAAAGGACCTTTAAAAGAGGTCTCAATCTTTCCCTCCAAACTTACTCCTCTTGAGCATTCCCTAAAACTTCAATAAAACTATTACCCAAACCTGACTCAAAAGAGAAGTCTAGGAATCATTCTTGACACACCTCTCCCTCTCTCTCCCCCACCTTCTGGCCCCTCTCATATTCCAAATGTTAAAAATGTCAAACCCATTTTTCAATAAAGCTCCAAAAGAAATCTTCCTTTAGGCCCTTTCCATCCCCAGTACTAATGGCAGATCAACATCATTGCTGTCCTGGACTCCCAGTCTAAGGTGCATACACACACAGCCTTGTCACTCCATTAATTTCTCCCTTGTACCCCACAATGTTTTCTCCACAAAACAGCCAAAGTCACCATTTTCAAACATTAATCGGATCATGTAATTACACTACATACTCACATCTTCAAAAGCTGTCAAATGACTCCTCACTGCTTTTTGGATAAAGGACAAAAACTTCACCGTGAAGGGCAAGGTCTCTGCTTACCTCTTTTGCACCACAGTTGATGTCTCTCCCTCTCGCTCACTAGCCTCCAGTCACACAAACCTCCTTTGTATTTCCTGACTGTTCTTCCTTACCACAGGTGCTAAGGACAAGGTGTTCTCTCTAGCCTCTAAACAAAACCTCCTTTCTCAAATACCCAGCTTCCTAGTTAATTCCCACTAATTCTTCAGGTCTCCGCTGAAAAGTCAGTTTCTCAGGTGGAACTTTTCAGAGTCTTTAGATTAGATTAGATACTGTCTTGTATCCCTGCGTAGCATCCTATAATACGGCTTCCTAATATTTCCCCAAATGCCATTCTATATTGTGTGATTTTTACTGAGTATCTCTTTTCCCAACCCCATTAAACTATAAGCTCCATTAAGATAGGGACCAATTTAGAAGAAGGTGGCAATCAAGGAAGGACAACACTGTGTAAAAACACGCCACAACAAGTATATGCTGAAAATAATAGAGGGGCGTGAGAATGAAAGAGATGTGACCATGTCCTAGAAAACAGACCTTTCCTATCAAGTAAAAGTGATATTCCCACTGAGTCCATCTTCTGTCCTGCCAAAATGATTTCTCTAAGATACCTCTGACAGGTTAAATCCCAAATCCTATAAAGATTCTGTCACCTCCATTGGTAATGTGGAACCCCTCTCCAACACAGGGAAGCGGGGGGCGGGGGGCAGAGGGATGGATTCTGCAGAAATCTGTGACTGACCATCCATGAGAAATGAGGAAGTCTTGAACGAGAATAGTGAAGGAACAGCAGCAGATGTTCAAGACATTCTTGAACAAAGAAAACCTTTCTCATGACCAACAAACCACAGCTTCCCCAGAGTATTTTGGCAAATAAAGTAAAAGCAAGAGTTGTAAAACTGTAGACAGTTTTAAAATTGGTTATGGGTAGTTAAGACACTTCCCAAGATTTTATAAACCTCAGTCTTATTTTTAGTATTTAGAGTACTACAAACCTTAGCAATAAAGTTGCCTTGCAAATGAAACTGATAATAATTAACATATAAATGATGTTTCTCTGTGAATAGGAAAAAAGAATATAGGTTTCAGAGCCCAACCCCCAAATCTACTAAACTGAATCTGTGGATGTGAGACTTGAAAATCTGCATTTTCACAAATTTCCTCAAAGATTCTTAATGCTCAATTTTAAGAACCACTTAAATGGATTAATATCCATCTGTCTGCAACAGGGCAGTCACTGAATGAGATATTATATGAAGTATATGGGGTCTTGAGAAACATCCAAGTTCATTTAAGTTAAGGAAAGCATATTCTCACAATTAGAATATAAAATGTATAACATAATCAACCTTACTATAACATGACTGCCTGAAGTGCTAGTGGAATAAAAAGTTAAAGCCTACAGGAAGCATTAAAATATAGAAATGAGAGCTAGAGGATATTATAGCTCAGTGGTAGAATACTTGCATAGCATGTAATATAAAAATATTTAGAAAATATTTTTTTTCTAAATATGACAACAACAACACAACTGTAGATCACGAATTGATAGTACAAACAAATAGGAGATAGCAGAACTTTACTATATGGGTAGGATGATTCCTTTGCAAAACAGAATAATAGTTCATCTGATATTTCCATAGCCTAAAAACCATCTATTTCTCTCTGCTCTAATTATAAGCTTCTGAGACTATTCTGTGAATAAATGTGGCATTTTGCTAGTATAAAAGGGTTACTTTTGAACTAGTGACAAATTTTGCTTCTATATAAATCCATCTCCACAATAAATTAACACATTGGTATTCTGAGTTGTCCAGTGAACCTTGTGAAGCTGGTGTTCACACATTCATTTGGTTGGCACAAAAGGCATCCTCAAGATAAATCATCCCTTGGAACACTGCTAAAATTCATTCCCAGAGAAGTGTTACTAGTAACTGAAACATTAAGAGGCTACACCTAAATTATGCCCCTAAAGTACTAACTAGTGCTTTTCTGGCATATTTCTTTTCTTTAAAGGAAACATTCCCCAAGACCAAAATGTTTTAAACAAGCCACATTACTTACCCCCCAAATTATATTCTTACGTGCAGAGTATATAAGTTTGCTTTAGAACCTCAAGATATTGCCACAGAAAATATTTATATTCAACAGAAGGAGGAAAAAGACTTCTCAAATGCTGTGACTTGGTCATTGAGCTTTCCACAAATGATCTGGTTCTCTAATATCTATTCTCACTTGCTACCCAGAATGTAATCTTTTATCCAGAAGTTGGACTAACAATCAAAGATAATGACCAATTTTTTCTTTTTTTTCCCCCTGTTACTAGGCAACAAACCCAGGTTCTCAGCTCATGCCGGGGGCAAGAGCTCTACCACTGATCCACAACCTCAGCCTCTGGACAAATGTTCTTTGAATGTGGTGGTGACTTAAAACTAATAGAGCTTTGGAAGAAAAGTGTTGCACAGAAGACCTACAAAGCACTAGTTAAGGAAAGCCCTGTCCAAGACAATTCTTCCCTAAGAGTCTCCCTTGCCTATAGCAAATCATGGGAAAATAAAGCTCACTGGCCATGCTGTGCTGCCAAATATGCTCAACTGCACCTCTGAGCTCCTGCTACGACTCCAGCAGCTCCAAGGCACTTCTGGCCTAACCCTTCCAT